CCAGCCTGAGGAGGGGCAGCACAACCTGACGCTCCTCGCTGCCCTGAGCGGGGGTTGTCTCACTCATCACGCATGCGGTCATGGGCTTCTTAGCAAATTATGCTTTGGGGGTTCATGGGTTTTTCCTGCGCTCTGTCCAGCGATACCAGTGACGAAGCTTAAAGTTCTTGTGTAGTTTGCAAATACCCATTTTCCTAGTTAAATTAAGTATTAAGTGTGAATATGATGAATTTTAAAACTTCATGAAAATTAATGTCATTTCTTGCAAAGGAGTCTGGCTGTTCTGCCAATGTTGAAACATTTTGGAATCTCTTTCTCTCTGTCTATCTCTGTCTCTGTCTCTGTCCGTCTCTGTCTCTGTCTCTGTCTCTGTCTCTCTCTCTCTCTCTCTCTCTCTCTCTCTCTCTCTCTCTCTCTCGTGTGTGTATGTGTGTGGGGGGAGACAGAGACACATAGGAAGACATGATGTGTTTAAGGATCACCCAAACTTTGTATATTTTCAAATCCACCCTTTGGTTATCCTCCACCCTCCTCTGATTCTACCCTCCCTACATTTCCCAGTATTCCAGGCAGCTGTGCCTTCTCTTGGATTCTTCAGTCCATGTGACACATCCTTCCTGGGGACTTTGCACATACATGTCACATCACTAGAGAATTGTCCTCTGACCGCGCTACTGAAGAGAGACCTGAACACTCACTCTCTGTTATGGTTTGAATCTTAAATGCTCGCCCCCACAGGCTCACATTCTGAGTGCCGTTTCCTGGCTGTAGAATTATGGGTGGGGGAGCTGTGGAGCCTTTAGGAGGTGAGGCTTAGATGGCAGACGTAAGTCACAAGGGACAAGCCTTTGACGAAGCTGCTTCCTCATCTACTATGATGTGAGCAGTTGTTGCTTCACACTTCTGCCACCGAGGAGGGAGCCACTTCCCTGTGCCTTCTCTGCTGGGACGGACGGAACCCTCTTGGACTGGAGCCAACATAAATCTTTCTTTAGTTATCTGTATCAGATGTTATGGTCACAGATCGGCAAAAGCAACCAACACCGCATGTTGCTAACAAGGGTGGGTTAGTTTCTCTGATTAAACCTGACCATGTATATGGTTCTTAGGCCTTTGGAAGCAGTTTGAAGGAGGAATGTGGAAGAGTTTGCGGATGCGAGCTAGAGAAGCCTTGGGATGCTGAAAGCGGAGCTTACCCGGCCATTACGATTGAGTGTGGAAGGCCAGAATGCCGACAGAAGCATGGATAGTGGAGACTAGGCTCATGAGGTTTCACATGGGAACAAGACTAGACGAGGGAGATTCTTTATGACATTTTTCCCTTGTAATTTGCTCACTTGGTTTTGTGTCAACTCACTTTTTACTCTGCATCCCTTATGCCCATTTATAAATGTGTCTGTTTTTATACCCAGCTATGGGCTCTGAGAAAGAAACAACCATGTTTCTAAGTTTTCGCAGTTTTGATTGTCTAACTTTTCATAATTCCCTAATTTTAACACAAAGCTTTGATGTTCTGTTTGGGTAGGTTTTTCTTCTTTTTCCTATGATTTTCCAGGCTGGCTCTGAAGGTCAGTTTACATTTAAAAAGTATGATTTTGACAAAGATTGAGTTTCTAGATCGTGTTGTCAAAAAAGCTTAAATTCTGCACAACAGAAAGCAACGTGGACCAATTGTGACCAGGTCATGTACTTAGGATGGTGTGTCATCCAATGGACGCAATGTTCTGTCCCTTTTCTATGAAGAACAATGGCATAAAGGACTTAAGAGATCTAAGGCCACAAAAACCTGGGTTACCCCAATTATTTCACTGGGACAGGTAGAAGAGCTAGCCTGAGACCTTTTGAGGACAGAGCCTGTGTCCTGATGACCTTTCTCTACAGTGACTGAGAGAACACCCAACGTAGAGGGGACACTTAACCAAAGCCTGCTAAATGATGGATTAAATTGGGGAGGAGGAAATTGGAGAAACGAAAAGCAATGAGATCAATTCTTTTATATGACTCATACATTGGCTCAGAAGACACTCAACTGAAGAGCTCAAAAAAAAAAAAATGCAGCATCGTTAACCCTAAGCGTGTGGTCACATTTAGCTGTACAAGTGGCAGTGCTATCCATCAAGTCACTGTCTCCCAGAGACTCAAGCTAGAAACTTTAAAAGCTCACATGAGTCATCCACTCTCTTCCCTTCCTCATCTAAGCAGTCATTAAAACTCCTGCCAGATTTACATCAGCTGTACCCTCAGTCCGCACCGCCCTATTGTCTAACTTTTAAAGCACAGCTACCAATCTTTCTCCTCCCAGCATCGAGCCCCCCCCCAACTCACCAAAAATAACTAATATATTTAACAAGATGGACCCAAGAGGGCTCAACCAGAAAGCAGTCCGTTCTGTCTGATGACAGTCCTTTGTATGAGTGAGTGTGTGTGTGTGTGTGTGTGTGTGTGTGTGTGTGTGTGTGTGCGTGCGAGCGTGCGTGCGTGCGTGCGTGCGTGCGTGCGTGTGTGTGTGTGTGTGTGTGTGTGTGTGTGCAGGTTCATGTGTACATATATGCGAATGTGTATGGAAGCCAGAGGTCAACATCAAATGTCTTCCTCAATTGCTCTCCACCTTATTTTTTGGGATGGATTCTTCCACCAAACCCAGAGCTTGCCCATTTGGCTCCATTTTTGGTAAGCAACAGGCCTCATGGATCTGTCTGTGTCTCCCCAGTGCTGGGACCACAAGTGCGCAGTGGCACACTTGGCTTTTCACCCGGATGCTGGAGACCCGAACTTGGGTCCTCTTGTTTGCGTAGCAGGCTCTTTACCAACCGGGTCAGCTCTCCAGCTCCTTAAAATGCTCTTTCACATCTTTCTTCCCGACTCTTGGTTTTCTTATTACCTTCAGGTATTAAAAAGTTCAATCTGATCGAATGCCAAAACTTTCTTACCCAAATGAAGTACTTTTCTCCATTAGTGTGGACCACATCCAGACTCACAAACTTGCTGGAGAAGGAGGTCCTGGTCATTGTCTTCTGTTTCATCTCCTCTGAAGTAGCTGGGCCCAGGACAGACAGAATCAGGGAACAAGAAGTCTGGACTCTGGTGGCTCTTGCCTTTGTAACCCCAGAGCCCTTGGTCAGTAGCAGATAGATAGCTGTTTCTCTAATTTTTTTTCTCTTAACATTTATTTTATTATGTATACAGTGTTCTGTCTGCATGTATGCCTGTACGCCAGAAGAGGGCATCAGATGTCATCATAGATGATTGTTAGCCACCATGTGGTTGCTGGGAATTGAACTCAGGACCTCTGGAAGAGGAGCCAGTGCTCTTAACCTCTGAGCCATCTCTCTAGCCCTGTTTCTCTAGTTTTAAGGATTTAAAGACCTTTCCCCTTTTGGACC